CTCCCGGACACATGTCCCTTCGTAGCGCATAGGTCACATTGGCGCATTTATTTATATTAATGCCAATATTCCAACGCTTGGCCCACATTTCAAATTTGTGGAGATATTGCTGCAGGACGTCGGTAGCTTCGTAGACGTAGTCATTTCTTGATAAGATGGCTGTGTCATCTGCAAACGTGGCGATAGTAAGGTCCAGTGGACCCCCGACTTCACTTGTAGAGCCAGAGGGCATGTCGTAGGTAAAGAGGGTGTAGAGCGTGGGCGTGCGCGTTCCCTTGAGGAACGCCAGCCCCAATGGCCTTCATGTTAGACTCAACTCCATCGAGTACTATCGAAAATGACCGGTTTGTCAAATAACTTTGCACAATCAAATAAAGTTGAGGTGGCAACAAGCAACAAGGGCTTGATTTATACATAAAGAAGGGACGGTTGCGCATGCGAGACAGTCTGACTTAGCACTTCTACTTCCCGTTGCATACTTGTGTGATCATATTACTCTTGCATTTGAATTATGTTTGGGGCTTTGGTTTGCGTAAAAATTGCAGCAAAGTTCAATAATGCGTTTGATATGAAAAGACACTGGGTACAGTGTGTATTATGTATGTATATTTGGTATAGTATAGTATATAGTATAGTAAATGGAACATTACACGGGTCTTCATGTTTGGTTTGAGCTACATGTTTAACAGTACTTGTAAGAGTTAAATTTCCACCTTCTCGGTACTGAATGTCACCAAATTCATGTAATACTTTTGTTTATATTTCTTACTCTTCATGATTAAGATTATCTAGGCGGAATTCATTGAACTATGAGAGGTCGTTGTTGATGACAAACACAAATTGTTCGTCATCAGATGGGTGAGGAAAGGGATATTCAAATTTTGACTCGAACGCTGGCCATTTGATTTCTGAACTGTTTTGCATTGTGAAAGTGTACTCATTTATTCGTACGTTTTTGTAATCTATTAGGGCTTGAGAACTCCCTAGGAAGTCTCGACCTAATAGCAAGTCATTATAATCTGAAAAAATATGTAAGTAAAATTTTTGATGAATGGGACAGAGTTTGTTGAGTTTCAGCGAAATACTTTGATTTAGTATTATTCTACTACAATAAATTCTGACTAAACTATTGGTTTATCTGTGGACTGCAGTCAACATGGGATTTTGGTTTCTGTGTGGTATTATTATAGTTCTGTTGTTTGGATGTCTGACTATAATTTTGAGTTTTTCCATACTCACGATGGAAATTGTAACCCCGATTTTTATAAGAAATAGCTGGACTGTTTTGATTATTCGGATATCGGACAATATTAAATCGTAGATACCTTCTCATTGTGCCACTTGTTATAGCTTTGAAACGGTTGTTATGCCATTACGAGCTAACGGCATAAAAAACTTATCAGGTAACTTTCTCATTCTTCTTTCATTCATTCTTTTACACACTTACGAATACTTCCAGTGAATGTTTTAAACTCTGAGATAAGCGATGCTCTCTGTGCGTTTCCTCATTTTTGTATCTCTATGGCTCCGAACAGGACGCTGTGTTGGCGGATATCCTTCATTGGATATAATTGTATGATGAAAACGATGCCCCTTTTGAATGCGCTTACTTCTTCTGTGGCTCCATGGAATGTTGGCACTTGCCTTATCTGGCCCAGTGCTTATGACAGATGTTGCTCGCTTTATTGGAGTACTGGCTCTGTTGGTTGTGCCATTTTTTCATTTTACTCTTGTTATTGTTTTCTTGGTGTACTCTTTCTGCTTTGTTATGGCGTTATTTCGCGCGCGTTACCATTTTGTGCAACTTGCAGAGATTAAAGGATTCACAAGACCAAGGGCACACTCGCTGCCATGTAATGAACAAGATTCACTACCTAGTATATCTGATTATCCAAAGGATCAATACTTAATTGAGCACATAATAATTGTTTAATCCGTGAACGGCAGTAGGTACTCGCGGCAATTCGAACGATTTTGCTTTTCGTTCTCGACCGTTTCCGTTGGCTACTTTTTAGTTTAAGGGCTGGGACTACAATTGTCCTTCAATGGTCTTAAATAAAATAAATAAATAAAACTGTATCTAACAATGCGCGGCTTAACAGGATATATATGAATAGAATTTTCAATTTGACGGCTTGGATATTTTGAATAAACTCAAACTCTAAACTGTTCTCAACACTAAGTAAACCTCGGCTGAGGGCTCTCAAGATCATAAAGTCTCTCTATTTTGGCAATGCTCTTATATTTGTTTTCTTTATGAGTATTCAAGAATATGCTAAGAGCCTGAATTTGAGCGGCGTTGCCAATTCGGACATTTGGTGAGAATAAAGATTGTGCTAGATGTTTTTGCCTAATAGTTCTATATTTTAAATTGTTATCAAGAATTGAATTTTTGGGGTACTTAAGCTTGTTGTTTTTGGTTGGTAAATATCATGTTATAATTTGAAGGTGGTGCGCTTTGTTGCCATGGCTTTTGTATAAGGCGTTGGATATGAGCCGTAGACATATCATATACGCTATATTTGATTATATAACTATATGTGCAAGTATAGTGTATGCTGTGAGTGTGGTGCATCTGTCACTTAGTGTATATGCGCACTAGGATCGGCCAAAGCTGTAAGTGGCGACCGTGAGAATGTCGCGCGGAAATATGCAGCGTTTGCATTTCGGCCGCCTTGGGTTCGGGTTTCAATGGACCAGTGTATCGGGGAAACATAACATGCGTTATTCGTATGTCATTAGTCAAGTCGGCCCGAAGGCAGTTTGTGTCCCAATGTTGTAAGCTGGCGGCTTATTCGAGTGACGAAAGTTACCAAATTTGAGTAAGTTTCTAAATTTTCTCTATCCATAAATTTTGTCATAAATGAAACTTAATACAATGGGTTTTTATTATTTTTAAACGAATTATGTGAATCTTAAAGATATAATAAATTGTAATTTGCAGGGAATGTCATCATTATAATAACTATGACATGCTTTTGTATTCAAAAATGTGTATGTTGTCATGTATAAAAAAAAAATGTTGATTAAAAAAATCTTTTAAACGAATTGTATATATTTATATAGATCTAAATTTATATAGATATAATAGATTGTTAATTTTATGTCATCATAATGTCAAATTTATGTCATCACATAATATCTATACTATATTCATTATTTAAAATAAAAATTTGTCGTTAGTGAAAAACACCACCCATTCTTTGCTGGCGTCGAACAGAAATGGAAGTAGATTTCTATGAAAAGTCGGCAAAACCTGTATAAATATTTCGAACCACTGATAGCCAGGAGCCCTTCCTGGTGCTTTGGTTGCCTTCCATCGGGGAGTAACATGAAGGCGTTTGATTGTGTATCAACCAAATAGAACTAAAGGGACACTGCAGGGTGTCGGATGGGTGCTAGCCTACGGTTTGAGTACCCCCACGGGGCACACGCCTCTTCTCTCCCCTGCTAAACTTCACTACGAGCTTTCACGACTTCAACTCAGAGCCTGCTTTTTTCATATTATAAATACAATTCAAAATTGCGCTTCTGTATCCTCGTTACATACCTCCACTCTTGACACTTCTTTGACTTCTATAAGTACGGTATTTATTCTTCAAGTTATTGCTATAAATATGCTATGAGTTTAATTTTCGGCATTTAATATTCATTTTTCCAATGCCTTAAATCAATCACATCTTATGGCCGCTGCGCAATGCCGGCTTCATTCATTTTCTAGATAGCAGTGGCAAATACCGATGGCGATTGATATGGAATGTATCGCGTTAACTTGTCTTGCGACGTCAATCATATCTTCATAGGCTTTGCATGTCCTTTCTGGAGTCCTTGCGTCTTAGGGATAGAATACTGCCGCTTATTGGCCTCAAGAGAATCCAAAATATTTAATCAAACGATAAAAGACATGATAGCGCAATTCAGATATGGGACCAGCTTTTTCCCGATATATCGCTGGCAGACTCGACTGATGTAAGGCAAGCGTTTCTCATGCAAATTCCATGACTTCCCATTTTTTTATTCGAAAAGATGTCTGCTACTACCCCAGGGAAAAGGCAAACCTTCCACATCAATCTTGAAGTGTCAAAAGCCTATGCCGGAATAAATATTTGTATAATAACTGTAGAGAAGTTTGAAAAAAAGCGCTGGAAAAATAGCCAATAATGAGCCAATAAAAAACGAAGAGTTTATCAAAAAATTCCAGAGTATTTTCTACCTGGTGTAGTTAATATTAAAATGGTATTGAAATACTAGAAAAGCTGGTAATTGAATATAATTCTTCAATGCTACTAAACGAACTGTACCGAATTAAGAAAATCTATTCAATAAAATACAATTTAATAAAAATAAAAATAAAATAAAAGTATATTTTAAATAAATTCCATGTTAAGAAAACCTTTTAATTTTATTACATACTTAGGACAAGTTTCTTATTTTTCGAGTCAAACACGGTGCGGCAAACAATTACCAGTACTTCTTTAAAAAGATGTATACTCCTTTAGATAGATTTAATGAAGTGCAAGCTTATCCTGTTTTGTTAAAATAGATAAATATAGGTTTTCTGATGTCCCATAAATTAAACAATTGTTAATAGTTTTTTATAAAAAATACAACTGATTATTTTGAGTGGTGCTTACGAACTAATTTGACAATTGTTTCATTTAATATAAATTAGCCTCGTATTGCTAAAAGCGTCATCTTGTGGTAGGCTTGTCGCCGCTGCCGCTGTTATGGCCTTTGCCGCTGACTTGGCGTGCGTGTCGATAATTGGTTATGTATCTTGGGTGTAATCGTTGCGCTGGGTGCTTTACTTTCTATTCATATTCGCTGTTCTTAACTCATATAATAGATGTAAAAAATATAATAAAATTAAAATTTCATTGTTTCAACTTTCACAATAAGCTGGAACACTTTTCTTAGAATACTAGCTATTTAATTTATAGTTCCATTTAATCACATCTTGTTCTAAACACGTTTTTTTTTATTTTTATAATGATGAACAGGAAATAGGCAAATACCCGGCACTACTGTAGTAGAATATGAAAGAGATAATAGCCCCATAGAATGCAAGAAATCGGATATGTCCTTGGCAGAGGAGACACCCACATTTTCAAATTTAGTATTTAAGGTAAGTAATGGTATTTAAATTATTACCGATTGAACAGACTGATGGAGGCATTAAAATTATTTACGGCATCCGATAGCATAAGTTTCGATGTAGCCATAACAATATGATAATCATATATAATGAATATATACATATACATAAATTAAAACAATTGATGATTGTTTTTGTTAAAAAACAACACAACTGTTTATTATATATTATTACCATTTTGTGTTTTGATTGGAGTTTTTCTATTTTCTGTTCTTTTCTGTACTTTGGTGTAATTATTAAGCCTAATCTTTTATCTATCTTGACATATACTGTGTCCCCTGTCTCGTATTGTTTTATTATTTTTTTCTTGCTGTTATGATATTGCAAATATTCATCCTGTTTTTTTAATTGTTTTGATTTTAGTTCTTGTATCTCCTAATTCCTTAGGATCGCTAGTATGCTGAGTTCCAAAAAAATATCTAAGAGTTTTGCGTTTACTGTGGAGTGTACGGATTGGTTGTATAATTCATCGGTTTTGAATATTAGGTCTTCGAAATTTACACATCCGTCATCCTTCTTTATACATCTCATTATTTGGGTCAGAGTTGAATGGAATCTTTCAACTTGACCATTGCTTACTGAGGTGTATGGCGGTATCGTGTAGACAGACGGTTGCTTTCAATTGGATTTGATAAATGCGGAATGACTTATCGTTGTCCATAACAACTAATTTCAGCATACCAAGGACGATCATTATGTTTTCAGCTGCTTTTGATTTCAAAATTTTTTTTTATCGTATTTAGAAAATTTATCTATGGCGGTTAGGTATTTTAAACTGTATTTGAAGTTAATAAATAAACGTTGGTTCTTGAAAACGTTTATTGGAACCTCCATGACGGGTATATGGTTATGTGACGAGCTATTGTCGATATGTACCGTTGCACTTGTGCTATTTATTTGGGGGCTTGGGGGATTTCTGGAAAAAGCATCTGACGACTTTGAAGTTCCTCTTTCCTATCGTTGTTCATGATTGTACTCTTCAAGGTAGCTTTTCCACCTTTTGAGTTTCTCATTGTGGTTCTTGTTGCTAAGAGCGAACATACGCATACGCCAGCTCTGTAGGGTTAAACTTTCCTTCTGATTCGTGGCGTAATAATCTTTCGCTTTGGAAAGTGTACGCGATATGTAGGTGATAGGCTTACCGTCTTATTCTAAGACTGCTCCAATATCATAGTTTGATGTATCGGTTGTTAAATGAAATTCTCTTTCGAAATTGGAGTAAGCAAGTATCACATCCATTGAGGTGAGCGTCATCTTGACTTTATTGAATCCGTCCAGTGCGCTGTTGTCAAATGCCACTTTTACTTTATTGTAGACATTTTTGGAGAGTCTGTTATTTTCTCCCCTAAGAAGAGTTGTAAGAGTTTTCGCAAATTTCGCATAATCGCGGATAAATCTCATATAATAACTCGATAAGCCCAGAAAACAACGCAAATCCTTAAGGGCGGCGGGCATGGGAAACTTTTCTATTGCCCTTACTTTTTCGGAATTGGTTTTTACGCCGTTTGCCGATATGGTAAAACCTAGAAAATTATCTTTGGTTTTGAAGATCATTTCAAGGTGTTGATCGCTGAGGCGTGATCGTTTTCGGACTGACTAAAGACGATAATATCGTCGATGTAAACGTAGCATATTTTTCCAACGTGTTTCCTTTGAATATCATCCAAGGCCCGCTGGAATATTGATGGGGAATTTTTCAGCCCAAATGGAAGTCTTGTATACTCATATTTACCTCCGTTTACTGCAAATTCTGTTTATTCTATCTCTCTCCCCTTAAGTGGAATTTGATGAAAACTTCTTTTTAGATCGAGCACAGAGAAATGTGTGTTCTCGCCCAATTGTGCGATTATTTCTCCGATTAAGTTTCTTAAAGTCAATGATTATACGCTACTTCATTTCTCCTGACGCATCGCTCTTTTTAGGGACCACCCATACGGGTGCATTGCTTTCTATACACCGGAGAGTCCGTCGTTCTTATCACGCTGACTGACGTCATTTTCTTCATTGATATCCTGGCGTATTATTTCGTCTCCGTGAAGTGTGTCCTTAATCAAAGACAAAATCACCTGCTTTAGTCCTGGATTGGCGTTCGGGTTACTAGACGAACCTGATTTTTTGACGAATCGGACAACTTTAGACTCTTGCTTTTTACTATTTTTAATTATTTTTTATTAATTTTTTATTACTTTCATTTTTGGTTTATTTTTTATTATTCTAGAACCAGTGGCTGGTTCTCTCCTACTTTTCTGGAGGGTCCCTTGAGAGTCGCAAATTTGAAGTATTTTGTACTGCAAGTGCAGTGCTTAGTTTATTTATCGTTTTACGTTTTGTTATTGGGCACTTGATGAGTGTGGTAAGATAGACAAATTATAACAGGGTTTTGTAAATAGCTTTTCAAATAACTTAATCTAAATTTAATAATTGGGTGTATCGATTTTAAAATATTCTAAAATATAATTTATTCTTTTTAAGTTTGTTTTTAAAGTATTAAAGTATTTTTGTTTGTTTTCTTGATTTAAATTTTGTCAATTAAACGCTAGTTTTTAACGATAATTAACATTCAGCGAATCTCCCACCCTGTTTTTTTTGATTATTTCCTTTTTACCCCACGGTGTAACGGCAAAGTGGTGCAGCATCGGCGGGTGACAGAAGATCCTGCGAGACACTAGTACGTGGTACCCTGCGGACTGGCACTGCGTTCGGATTCAACAACCGGAAACGGTAGAAGATAAACGCAGTACAATTTTTGTTAATATTTATTATGCTCGCACTTCCGCTGCTGTTGGCGTTTTGTCGCCGCTTCTACGCTGTCGCCGTTGCCGCTTTGTCGCCGTTGCTGCATTATTGGTTGTTGTCGGGTGTCCAGGTTTAATCCTACGGTGGAGCTGTCCCACGGTGGCTCTTAGAAATGCGCTGACTTAGCCGTAATCGTGGGGCTGGGTGCCTGAGTACTTCCTTTTAGTATTTGTAATAACTGTTCTTAACTTATATATCCAACTTAGAAGCCAAGTTTTCTATCCCATTATAAGCAACGCATCCCCAAAACATTATTGATTCACCCCAAGTTTATGAGTTGTTCTTGTTATTCTTACAAAAACTTTTTAGGGCAGTGGTAAATTAATGAACTTTCGTAAGTCCACAAATCATTATGCCAACCATCTATTTGGCTTATCAATAATTTTTTGTCAAATTCAAGGCAATTGATTTAGTTCTCATTGTAATTTGAAGAATAATGTATTTTGAGAAATAACTCTGGCCATGAAGGTGTCGTAATCAACTTCCTTTAAGCGCCTCGGAGTTGTCTTTTCACTCTATAATTTTTTGTATAGTAAGAAAGCTCCGTAGAGGAATATTCTTATATTGCCGTAGAATAAAACGATCACTCTGCTCTGTTATCTTGAGCGGTCTGCCACAACGTGTCAGATCTATTGTGATGTAGTTTTTTATTTATAATAATTTTGATAATATAGTGTTTGGCTGGGTACATTTTATAATATAATCACCACCATTTCATTTTTAACAAATTAACTTATTTCATTTTGTTTATCCATAGTTAATAGATTTGTTTAATCTATTAACCAATTGTTGTTATCAGCGCTTCACATTAGTATTGAATATTAACAGGCGTGTAGCTTAGCTTCATAATAGAAGTTTAATGTCTAAATACTCTTGTGTACCGGCTATCAGCTTGCGAAAGTGAAGAATACGTTAATGAAAAAATCCTAAAGAAAGTGAACAAATACTTTGCATGCTACGCTTTGCTTACATGTACTTTATGTTGCAATATATCAAGAAACAGTTACATATTACAATTCTTTAAAATTCAAAATGAATAATATAGCGCATAGTTGTATCAAAATATTTATGTCATCGATTACCTTTGTTTGTACTTAACTTCGACACGTTTTGCTATGGCATGCGTTCGTCAAGAAACAAAGGAACACAGCTTAATGGGCACTTCGCTCGTATTTTAAAATGCGTAGAAAATTGGTCATGCAGAGTCTTATGTTGTTCGATACAAGGGGTAGATTCTGCCTCGCATTCGGCCTTCTGGCAGCGGTCCCATTAACTGATTGCCCAAAACTCCTCGAAGCCGCAAGTATATAATGCATTTTCGTACCGCATTGCGAACCAATTTTCTGCAAATGACGATCTAATATTTTTGCGGCAAGAAGACTCATTACATTTGACGGCATGTAAATTGCTTCGATGAGTGCTATAAATCAGTTCATGAACGACTATATTTTCATTAGACATTAATAATTTTTAAATTCGCCGCTTTCTATTTCTACGCTACCTATAAACGTAGCTAAACCCGCGCTGAAGTTTCAAAAGATCGTATGTAAATTTATATTCCCCGATCACGTCGTAAGTGTCCCTCGTCTCAAGACAATTAACTGCAAGGTATTCATTTAGATATTAATTCGCCGTTGCAGCGATATTGCGCGTTAGCCCAGGCAACTAGTGGATTCCTCAAAAAATCAGGGTCCTTCCACCATAAAATACAATTGCCTGCACACAATATCTGCCTACAATACATCGATCGACAATATCTATAGTTATTCAAACCAATTAGTATTTCAAGGAATGAAATCAAAAATACTTAATAACGCTGACATCGTTACTAGATATTATATATTAAATTTTGGCGCGAACAACCTACGAAATTCGTTTGTTGATAGTATGTGCAGCTCATATGCTATTGGATATAAACTCACAAACAAACTTAAATGTTAAAAAGCTATCGCAGGGCCGAATCAGAGAGCTGTTTTAAATTATGAGTGAATGGGTACCGATTTCGTTTTCAATTTTGTGAGCATAATAGCATTTTGTTCTGTGTTGCTCATATTTTTTCAGTTTTTATATTATACTAGCGGATATACTCTGTTCTTGTCCGTGACATGTTTTAAATATATTCTCATATGTAAAAAAAAGCTCAACCGTTTTCCGTTTTCGTGGGTGGCGTTTCGCACTCGAATTCATTTCCAAGGATCTTTATGAAAAATCATTTGAGACGTGTTTCAGGCTTTTCGCAGAATCCGAGCTTCCTCGGTGGAAAATATGATTCCAAGATTTTTTAGTTGCGCTTTAAGTTTTGTCCGACATAGAACATTTCACCCGCAACAGCTCGAGTTTGCATCCAATAATCGATAACTTACTCCGTTTTTAAGCAAGCGATAAAAATCAATATCCACATCCTTTTTTTTGAGCAAATTGGGTAAATAAAAGGAGCTAGAGGCACCAAACATGATATGTTGCTTCTAGAATATTATATATATGTCAAGTATCTTTCATTTTATACCTATCGCCACCTCCCCGCTACCACCCCAGAGCAATAAATCAAGTTAATAACCCAACTTTTATTGCTAATCTAATCTAAGCCATAATTTAAATGCAATTTAATTTTTGAGTATACACCATTATTTTATGGTACAATAAAATATATAAAAAACCGAAGTTATACGTAACTGCGCAATTGGATGGATTGGATCTCCCATCCTGTTTTTTTGGATTATTTCCTTTTTACCCCACGGTGTAACGGCAAAGTGGTGCAGCAATTGGATGGGACCGATATCGAATACTTCAAGAATTTCTATATATACATGTACACACACACATTCATGCGTGTCTTCTTCGAATTCTAACGGCATGGTGATTGCGACTTTTTTCTGTAACGCTATTTTGCTTTTTTCTTTCTCACATGAGTAGAGGCATAGCAAGCGGTGCAGTCTGTCGCGAGTTCGAACCCTTCTGGGAAGATTTTTTAATTATACCCTGAACCCATTAAAATGGGCAAAAGGGTATATTGTATTTGTGCAAAATCCAAATGTATGTTACAGGCAGAAGGAAGCATCTCCGACCCCATAAAGTATATATATTCTTGATCAGCATCAATAGCCGAGTCGATCTAGCCATGTCCGTCTGTCTGTCCGTCCGTCCGTCCGTCCGTATGTATGAACGCAAGGATCTCAGAACCTATAAAAGCTAGAGACTTGAAATTTTAGATGTAGTGCCCGCGCAGATCGAGTTTGTTTCCGATAATCGATAACTTACTCCGTTTCCAAGCAATCGATAAATATCGTTATCGATATCCTGTTTTTGGGGCAATTTTAGTAAATAATAAGAGCTGTCATATAGCTTCTAAAATAGAATATATAAATGCATTTGATATTGGAAGAAGAGGGTTCAGGGTACCCCCTAGTAGGGAGTTCCCGACTAGAATCTCTTATCGATATCAATATCCTGTTTTTTGGGCAATTTTGGTAAATAATAAGAGCTAGAGTCACCAAACTTGACATATAGCTTCTAAAATAGAATATATATATGCATTTGATGTTGGAAGAAGAGGGTTCAGGGTATCCCCTAGTCGGGAGCTCCCGACTAGAATCTCTTACTTGTTTTTTTTTGCTGGTGTGTCTGTTGAGTAAAGTCGTTTTTGTTTTTTTGTTTTTTTATTTTATTATTTAGTTTGTGTTAGAATAAGAGGGGTGCTGATTTTGTTTTAATTTTTAGAGTAAATCTTGCAGACTACTTTACGCATATATTTATTTTTGCACTACTCAAAGATTACAAATTTAGCTTCGTAATAGTCTTGTTTAACTTGTAATGTTTGTTTGTCTCATATAATTGACCGGTCTACTTCTATGCTATTATTTAATTCCTATAAACCTATGTTGTTGCTGATTTTGTTTTTATGCTGGCTTCGGAGGAGTCTATTAATGCAGCTTTAGTTGTTTGTTGTTGTAAACATTTTTAGTTACCGCCGTCTGTCTGACGTTATATGTAGTTGCCATTAGGCGCCAATTAAGAATTTTAAGAGCTCGTAGGTACCGAACGGGTTATTTTCCAAAATTTAACTAACTCTAAGGAACACAAATTCTTATAATGTAAGGTAGCACTTCTCTCTAAAAGCCCTAACATTTCGCGTCGTGGTGTCGTATATTCGAAGAAATAAACGGATCATGCCACTTATGCATGGTTGCTTAGTGACCTGCTCTGTTGATGGGTAATCGTATTGATTTACCTATACAAAAAAAAACCAAAAATGCCGCAAAAGTATTATTCCTTTAATTAATTTTTGTCTAATTTTAATTTTATTTATTTTCAGAAATACAAAACGGAAATATCTGAGACAGTAGGGACGGCAGAAACACTCAAAAATGTTATATTAAAACGAACAAAATCACAATCTTTGCTTGAGTTTAATGAAACCCATGCAGGCGAAGAACTATCTGTACCTCTTAACCTTGTTTCCAGTGAAAATAATTCAAAGTTAACATACAACGCCAAATAAAATTCAAGTAATCAAGCCATCAAGCGCACACAATTTATAATGAGCTCATGAAATCATTAAAAACTATTATCGTTATATATGCTCACACTAATTTGTATTCTTAGAAACTAATACCAAATTGCAAAAAAAGGGGTTCAAAGTTGTAATATTATGGTGTGAAAAGTTTTATTTTAAGCACGGACAGAATTACTTAATTCTTTTTATACATATAGTAAAAATGTAAGCAATTAAAGAGATATTTATACTTATACATGATTCAGTATTTTTAACATTTAATGACTTCTAAGTAGCTTGACATTATAAAACAAAATTTATATCAGTAACCCATTGAACTTTTTTTAGATTGACGATGGGATACCCTAAATAGGCTTTCGAATACATAAATCATTTGCGATCTTTTCTCCATTTTTAAAGTTAATTATTCACAGACATTTTCATTATAGCCTACGTCGTCAATAAAAATTAAAAAAAAAGGCTTCCCTTTTTTAAAAGGATACTTCACAATTTAAAGTCAATTCAATCAATTCACACGAGGAAAATGTCTATTTTTTAAACAGTTCAATTCTATATTATAAGGAGGTCGGGGTATCCCATGGTCAAATTTTGATAAGTGTTAAAGGCTTAGCCTATAATATCGTTGCAGGACTTATTCAGCTGTTGGAAAAAATTATACTCATTGTACGACTTACACCTTACCTCTTTTAAATAGAATGAATTTAAACCCTTGCTTTAAACAAAAAAATTCGTTTTGCGGCTTTTACATCAACTGTGTGCCGCATGATTTCAATTAAATTGGCAGTAGGTTGTGAAATACAAATATAACCGATCTGTTATGTATCACCAAAATAAAATTAATAAATGTTGGTCTTTCGAATAACGTTGAAATAAAATCCAGCCTATTGATAATCTGAGTATTTGTACCGTTTATATCGATTTAAAATCTTGAAAGTCGTAGGACAGCATTTTTATAAGTAATAATTGTATAGTACATAAAATATATAAAAATATGAAAAATATTTGGCGATCTATTTATATGTTTTCATCCATAATGATTTTTAAAAAGCTTTTTGTTTATTCAGCACAATTCTATAGCTAGAAAACATTTGTAAAATCTCTTGCCTGTAAATGAAAATCATGTGATAATAATAATAATAATCTCCACAATTTTTAAAATAGTAAAACTATGCAATTTAAAGCAATATTCATAATACCATGCAAGAATTTCAAGCAAACAATTGAACAAATATTTATATTTCTTATAGAATATTCTTAATGCTTAAAAGTAAATGCAGTTTTTCGATCTTAATAAGCTATTTAATATTAAAATAATGTTTAAACTAAGAAAAAAAGTTAATCATTTATTTTTTCGAATTTAATAACCACAAAATCTTCTAACAATAAACTTATAACTTTAACTAAATTTGTTTTAATTAAAAAATCCCAAACTTTTATGCTATTTTATATATACTTACCATCGCTATTAAAAATACGTCGAATATACTGAATATAGAGCACTATACGAAAGAAAACCTGTTACTTGAGATTAAAGTAACACATTTCTATAGAAGAAATTTTTTCACAATATAAACGAGAAAGAAAAGCTACCTTCGGCACGCTGAAGATCTTATACCCCTGCAGACCCAACCCTTTCATAATGCTTAATGTGTTTTGCCCGTATCTAAGAAGAACAGGGAAAATGGTTATTGCCAGGTTTAAGTAAAGATATCCTGATAAACAAAAAAGGTTTTAACAGGTTTTAAATCAAAAAACCAGTTTTAGACCAATCATTGCTAAAAAATCAATTGGGGAGGGCTTCTATTGAAAGTCATTACCTTAAGAGAATTTATGAGGTTGGCGAGACACCAAGCCTGATACGCAATAATGAAGGCTTGTATAAAATATGATATGTAAGGCATAATTTCACATCATCAGCATACATTAATACCTGAGAGTGAGACAGTATCGAGGAAGGGTCATTGATGAAGAGAGTAAAGAGTATCGAGCCAAGATGACCACCTGTGGGGACACCAGAAGTTACCAGAACATGTTTAGAAAACGAATTTCTGAAAAGAACCTTTTGGGTTTTGTTACGCAAATACTCTGAAATCTAAGTAGTTCAAGAGATTGTCTGGGAAGTCGAGAAGGCATAATTTGTGAAGGAGCAAGGAGTGGTTGAAAGAGTCGAAAGGCTTACTGAAATCAGTAAAGATGACGTAAGCATGCATTTTTTCTCAAACCCATCAATTATTAGCGAAGTAAACTCAAGAAAGTTAGTGTTTGTCGATGTACAATGTTAAATTAATATAACTTTTTATAACTACATGGAAATACCTTTATAGTTTACAGTAAGTAGTAGTAAGTCCGATTACTACCTCTCTTATGGAGAGGGATAATGTATGATTCTTTCCAAATGGTCGGAAAAATTCAACTGCTTATGGACACTTTAAAAGGTTTTAAGATAGGTTAACACAGGGCTGCAGCACAGTACATGAGCACATATAAGCGCACATAAGCGGGAACGCCATCAGTGCTCAACAGGCTTGATTGACGCTGAGAACGAACTTTCTGTAATAATAGGATTTATCATGCAGTTTGACATCTGTAACTTATATTGATAAAGCTGATTTTTATTAAAAAAAAAATATATTAGATTACATATTTAAACAAATTAAAACTTGTGGCCTTACACTCGGTTTAGCGTGTATCGAATTGATATAATTTGACAACTGAACTTAAGCGTACATTACGCTAAGGCCGCGAAGCGAGGCGGATTCGCTCCAAAGCGAGTGATAAAGCTTTATCTCGCTCCGTCCTAAAACCAATTTACACTAGACTTCATGTTCCCTTTTCATTTTTTAATTCAATGCGCGGATCTGCGCCAACACCGGCCACCATGAAGCGCTTGGGGACTTCATTCCATGGGTAGCCGAGATTTTCCTTGGCGACGACGACCAGCTCTCCACGACTATGTTTGGCAGGCGACGGTGCGACTGCTCCGCATTTGGAGTCCGAGCATATACTCCTTTGACCATCCTTGCTCAGAGCTCGACATCGATCCAAGCAGGTGAGACCCTGCTGGTCCGGGGTCCCCCTGCTGGCAGAGCCCTCAATGGGCCTCCCACCGGTAGGTGGCCTGGCGTTAGGTCTCGCCATCGTTTGGGTTCTCGCTTATTTCTCCCAGGGGCACTGCGACAAGAGTCGTCTGCAGCACCACGGCCATTAGCATAGGCTGCCTACCGTCCGTAGGAGTAGTTGCTCTATAGACTCCACACCTGCCTCCCACAGACCCCCGAAGTGCGCAGCTCTTGGCGGTATAAACGCAAATTCGCGAATTGCGTCCGCCACTTTCCTGATTCTCCAGGAACTGGCGAATTGCTCCTAAGAAGTTCATTGCGTTGTCGCAATGGATGGTCTGTGGGACTCCTCGACGGCCGACGAACCTTAGTGGATAAGTCAGATACTAGTTCTAAGTGAACCGCTTTGGAGGCGAAACAAACAAGCACGACTTATACGTATACTTTCCACGCATTCGAAAAGTCGTGCTAATTGGACCACAAAAATCAACGCCATAGATAGAAAATTTGCGGAGCGCTCGGAGTCGATCTGCTGGTAAATTTCCCAGATTTTTTGTGTTAGAAGACGAGGTCTGCAGTTGAAGCAACGGATACATGATGTCAATGTCTACCGACAGACCTCTTGAGCGTTGATTAGCCAAAGTAGCTCACGAAGAAGACTCACGAGTGCTCTTGGGCCAGCATGACAATTTGTCAAATGCAAAGCTTCTAGCTAATTACAAGCTTTTTTTAAAACTAGCAGAAACTTGACTTCATATGAAAAAGAGCATTTACAAGTCGTCCCCTACTCGCAGGCTATGACCCACGCATGTGCCCTTTTGACCATAGAGGCCATGTCATCTTTAAATTCAGCTCGTTGGATGACTTTAACTATTTTCTCGAAAGCTTCATTCCTTTCGAACGGCGTAGGGATACTCTCAATTGTAATTTTACTTTTGAATGAAGCGAAACACATAGGCAAACACTCTCAGCAGCCTGGCATGCAATGAGAAACTATCGAGAGTTTCCAAGATATCTGGCTGGTCCACTATAGCTGCTAGTTCAAGAGGTGTTTTGCTGGTTAACCGGCCAGGATTCTCTTGGTTCCTTCAAAAATTAAGGCCCATCGAACCACACCGACGGAAGCAATTCATCAACATCGTAGCCTTTTAAAACAATATCTGCTGGGTTTTGCATAGTAGGTACATGGCGCCAGTCAGCTTTCTCTCCATTCTTGGATTTCAGCAACTCCATTTTACACAAATGTTGGCAAAGACGAAGGATGTGACCGAAAACAATGAAGCGTGACTACAGAATGAGATCAAAGGACCGTCCATTCAATCGGTAATCTCATAAGATTTCTGACTCGATGATAAAGTTCTGCAGGAAGGTGAGCCACGCATACCTCAAGTCGGGTAGAGTCTTCGTCTTGAGAGGGGCTACTTTAGATTTGGATGGCAGCAATGAAATACGACCTTCTGCAGTACGACTGGGTATATATACGTATGCGCCAAACACTCTTTTGAGACGTCGGCGAAGCAATGTATATCGATTATTAAAGTTGGCTCTGTAAACGCGTATCTTGGTATCTTTCTTCGTTGCAACTGTATCAAAATTGATTTCAGTTGCTGCCAAGAATTATCCGAACTCTGAGCAACAGATTCATCCCAGTGTAACTTCTGAATCCAGACCTCTTGGAAAAGGAATTTTGCCTTGATCATCAGCGGGCTGAACAGGCCAAGCGTGTTAAATAGCCCCGATGTTACCGAGAGAATGTTCCGTTTTGTCGCTCTAAGAAATGTGAATGAATCGACTACCTTGAAATGAAAGGCATCTTCATTCGGCAAACACAACACGCCAAGTGTTTTGGTTGCGTGCATTTGGTTAGTTCGAAACATACGCTTTTGAGTACTTGCGAGACTGTAGACTTCATTGTTCGACAGTTCTCTACGCATGGAGCACCAGTTAGTAAATCATCGGCATAAAATTCGTGCCTGATAACGCCAGCAGCTTTAGGGTGTGATGACACACTCATCTCACTTAGCTTTGTTAAACACCGTATTGCCAAAAACGAGACAGGCGCAGTGCCGTTAGTTACGATATTTAACCTAAAGGACCTCAATGTGTCAGATGGGTTCTTTCCCCACAGTACGAGCAGGAAGTCTCGATCTGCTTCATGCACCATGACCTATACATCTTTCTGATGTCAGTTGCCAGCGGATATTTGTGGAGTCGAAATTGAAGCTGAGTCGAGTATAGCTCCTCTTGAATGGTCGGTCCAATCATAAGATAGTCATTCAACGCAATTTGAGACGATGTCCATTAGGAAAAGTCGAAAGCAACGTGGAATCCTCTCATCTATTTTAGACATGTGACCTAAAGTTAAAAATATTCCTCTATGAACTCCAAGTACATGCGCTTAAGCACGGGATCTCGAGTTAAGCGTCTTTCAAGAGATAAAAAACGGCTCTTAGCAGCCTCGAAGGAATTACTAAGCTGATTGGGATCTTATTTAAATGGCAGTCTTACTCTAAATCGATCTGACAGGAGTATTTGCAAATTAGTCTTCTCATGTGCAGGCTTGTCATCCCTGGGTCGGACATTCAACGATTTAAGGCCGATCTAAATAGCTTGATCAACCTAAACACGCAGCTTCAGTCAGCCGAGGACGTCGACGCTGCAGTCCAAACCCTGTTGGACCACGTACATGCCACAGCCGCCAATGCTGCGCCAAAACATACGTACCCAACCCCTACAAGCTAGTGCTCAAGGACATTTTCCCCCATTTTGGAAGGTCTACACGCCCTAAAAAAGCGACTGAGGAGGGAGTATGTCCG